GCTATTGTAATGTTGGCATAGATATATATTATACTGGGATTAATAGCGCTGTTGTATTACACCAAACACTGTCTTATTAACACCAGCACTATATGTGCCATATATTATAATTATATATATATATATATATATATATATCTCACTCACTGTAAAGCTGAATGTTTTGCCCGTAAATTCTCCCCAAACGCTACTCTTGACTTATCAGGAGTATCCCTGCCAAGCTTCCCACTTAGAACTGATTCTCTGTTGAGTGATATGCATATAACCCCTTCAATAGTTTCTATCATCTCTAACCTTGATCCCTACAAAGCATGTTGACTCAATGGTATGCCTGTAATAATCATTAAGAAATGTGCTCCCGAACTGGCTCCTGTTCTCTCTAAACTCTCTATAATAAATGCTTTGCTGCTTCCTGCCTGCTGGAAGTCATCATCTATTGTTCCAGTTTTTAAAAACTCTGGTGAACCATCTGGTTCATTCAACTTTTGGCCTATTAGCCTTTTACCTCTTTTTGGGAAACTCCTAGCATTCCTAGTTAATGCTCAATTAGTTCATCTCTAATCACAGGGTCTTTTCTCAGACAAGCAATATGGCTTTCATTTCTCCAGGTCAACTACTAGTGTAGTGACAATAATTGCCGAAGGAGCCTATCATGCTCTAGATAAAAACGGTGAAGCCTGGGCTGTAGCTTTTGACGTAAGTGGCACACAAAATCTTTAACAAGAAATTAGTACATTGGAAATACCATCTTGTTGAGTCCCAAAGCAATTGGCTGAAGAACACAAGTTCTTGTGCATGGATATTTCTTTTCAGTTTTTAGAACAATAATGGAATTGATGGGGACATTCTGAACTAAATGATCATCTGTGATGAGGTCATGTTACTATAGAGACAAAAATTTATTCCATGACTTGGAAACATCCATCATCACCAACACCATAAAAATTCAAAGTTCAGCAGTCAGAAAAGAATTGATGGTAACCATGTCCTAGGATACAAAAAGTGTTCTTGCTTATTTGGTTTGGTGGTTTTTGTTTAGTGGCATATCAACCGCTACGCATTATTTAATGCCAAAATCTAAATATTTTCAATGCAATATTATGCTTTCAACTAGAGATATTTTTTAAATAATTTTATACTTTCAGGATAATCATATGCTTTATAGATATATAGCTTGTAGGTGTTATATGTTTTTGTGTGCTTGTTTAAATTATATATTGTAGCCTGACAGTTAATGCAGTCAGATACTGTGAAACACTGGACAGGCTGAAGGAAGCTGTTCACCTAAAGTGACCATGTTGATTACAATCTGATAGGAATGACTGCTAAGAACATCCCCTCCCAAATATATAGATAATCCTTCAATTGCATGATGTTATTTCTTTATAACCAATAAAAATGTCCAATTCTCAATCCCATCCTCCACATTTTTGTTCTTTCTTGCCTTGTCAGAATGCTATAACCACTTGACTATATCCCTTTTATATGTGAACACAATTCTTACTTTGTGAACTTTCTGCTTTATTACTAGCAATTTGTTTTGCCTATTTTGACTTGCATTTTATATAATTATTTTTTTTTTAAAAAAAGCTCTACAAATCATATTGAGCACTGTTTTTTTTTTTTTTAACCTTTTTTTTTTCAACTCTGAATTATAAATATCACTGTTCTTTCCTATTATATATATATATATATATATATATATATAAATAAATATAATTAATACTTAGTATTATTTTGCCCTGCTCTTTTTCTTCCTTTTCTTGTTTATTTAGGACTTTGTCAATTACACTTAACCATGGCCAATTATTCTACAGAAACCTGCTGCAGAATACCTCAGACAACCTTAAAGTTTGTTCCAGCAATGTTTATGACTTGAAACCTTTAGATTATTATCTGTTTTAATCCCTAAAATTATATTTATCTGGAAAGTGGTTTCACACTGATTCTGCTGGCACAGAGTTGCAAGGGTGACTCCTTAACATGTACTCATGCAATGATGGGATAATTTTTTTTTTTTTACTAATGTTCCCCCTATACAAGAGCTACTCAATGAAGGGTTAATGAAGGAAGTTGTATGAGTGGTAAAAGAGATGGTGATAACATGAAAATGTAGTATAGTAATGTTGGCAGCATATGCAAAATGTTTCATTTGTATAGCAATAAACATGATAGATTAATAAATCTTTATACTTTACTTTTCAGACATTCCTTGTGTGTATAATACAAGGAACACCTGTCAAACAAAAATCAACTAAACATTTTTACAAACCTCAATTGTTTCTCTCAACATTTATTTTCTATTACAAAGAGTAAGAAGCACAGCCCAGAGGATAACAATTTTAGTTACTTAATCAATTAAGATACACTTGCTCAGAGTTCAACCTACAGCTGAGATCAGTTATTTAACAATACAGATCCACACATGTTGTAAATGTACTACATTTGTCTAGGAAGAGGAAATCTATGCAAAAGCACACATATGATTTATGTTATATGATTAAAGTATGGATTCAAAAGATTTTATAAAACACTAGATTGATTATTTCAGATATTTGTGACTAGATGAATTTTGCAATTCTCACTTAAACATCTGACTTAAGAGGAAAAGTACAAAAATTCAGCTCAAGAGTTTTTCTTGAAATTCAAAGGAATAAATAATATAACTCAAATAGTTTCTTATACACTATATCAGATTTTGGCAAAGATGGAGTAATGTGCCCACCATAAGATGTAGTGTCACCCATGACACCATTTTTTTTATCTTCACTCTTTGGCAATGTTTACTTTAAAATTGAATTATACATGAAATTGAATTTATACATTTTCTTTGTCCTTGAAAATTAACAAAAATAATTTATTTATTTATTAGATTATTTATTATATTATTTATGGTTGGCAAAACATTGATTTGGTTTGATTTACAACATATCAACCTCAATGGGTTATTTAATGCTGACAAAATTTTTAAAACCAATGTATTGCTGGTATTTTTCCTTCAAAAATCTATTGCAGGTAATATTTTATTCAAAAATGTATTGCTGGTAATATTTTTCAAAATATGTATAGTTGGCAATATTTATTTTTATTTTTTTCAAAATGTATAGCTGATAATATTTTTTTCAAAAAGTATTGCTGGTAATATTTTGTTTGTAATAATTTTCCTTCAAAAACGCATTTAAAATAAAAATAAAAAAAAAAAAAAAGTAAAAATATAAATAAAAAAACAACTCATAGGTGATATTTATTTCATTGAGGTCAATAAAAAACGGCTTCAAATCTTCAGACCTATAAACCAAATATTTGATTTATAGGTCTGAAGCTTTGAAGCTGTTTTTTATCGACTTCAATGAAATAAATATCACCTATGGTTTTTAGTGTTTTTTTTTTTTCATTATGTAATAATTTTTTCTCTGTCTTTAACATAGAGCTCTCAATAGATCTATATACAGATTACCAATAATTTTATTATATATATATATATATATATATATATATGTAGACAGAGAGAGAGAGGCAGCAACCTTTCTTTTAAACATCATTCATTAAATATGATAGACAAGGAAAATTTAATTATTTTTTTTTATTTAGTTTTTCCAGCATTCTTACATTTTTTTTTTTTTTTTTTTCATTTGTTGGGAGTTCTGATTACATGCAAATCCATCAGGGTCATAGGGGCACCACATATACTGCAGATGCAGTAGAAGGGGTGTTTCTTAGGCAAGATAGTCTGACAAAACCCAAACCTCTCCAGGACAATTTTGAATTCAGAGTTACCTTCTCCTAGAGTAGTTGCCACCCAAGGTTATAGAACCCAGTCTGTCCTGCAATTTACCCATAACTGGAGGGAGAAGAAGAGGATTCATAGCTTTCCCAAGGGTATTAGCATGTAAGTGAATGTAATGGATCTGAGAGGAATTCAAACACTGCTCTCTGATTCCTCAATCTGAGCCACTATCCATTACTCCTCCACGCCTCCTTTGTTGCTGGGAATAGGGAAGTACAAAATTTTCTATAATTTTTTATTTGTCCCATGTGCTTTCAGCCACTTCTTTAGTCATTTTTTTTTTTGTGTGTGTGTGTGTGTGTGTGTGAAAATAAGGTATATTTAGGCAGCAAGTATTTATCTAAGCAAGTTTGATCAAAAAGAACTGACAAGGTCTGTCTGTTTAATTGTTCCTTGTATTTTTCCAATTTTCATTACACAACACATTATTTGAGAATTGATAAAAAGACCTTGTGAATTCTTTTTAATCAAACTTGTTTGGTGGTGTGTGTGAGTAGCAATTTCTAAGAAATTTTTGGATTTTATTCATAATCAGACATTACTTTAAATGTCACATTTAGTCGACATACAGGAATATCAATTCAAAGGTGAAGATGATGTTTAAAGTAAAAAGAAATATATACTTGTGTAGTTACCAATACTTACTTATTAATTTCCTTAGTAATTACCACATATATAAAAATCATTTTTTTTTAAATTACTTAGATGCCAACCAATAAGTCTTTGTGAAATCTAAATTAAATCAATTACTCAAAAGATGAAAAAGAAAAAAAAAAAAAAATCTCAGAAGAAAAAAAAAAAGTCTTATAAATTTTAGATTTGGATTACAGCATAAGTTTTCTTTCTTTTTTTTCAATCTATTACATATTAACCTTTTCCTTGGTCATACTGTTGACAGCATTGCCAGTGTTCTTAAAATAATGTAAAGCAATTCTTTTATTTAAAAAAAAAAAAAAAAAAGGATTCATTTGCATAGAAAACAAAAAATCACTATAAACACATCCTGAAAAAGAAGGTGTATACTTCTTAAACAAAAAACCATCTTACATATCTTTTTACTGTGTATACTGAACTTTTGAACAAGTTGGTTTAAAAGCCTTCAATATTTTATATATATGCAAAAACAACAACACTATTTGAAAGTTTTAAACTCCTTTAATTGATTTCAGCTGTCTGTACCTTTTGCAAATCAATATCTGTAATAAATACTCACCGATCTCCTCCTCCTGATCCTTGTTATAGGCATTCTTGCTTAACCTCTCGAGGTTCTCAGCCAAATAAGCCTCATTTGATACATGCACTGAAAGAAAACAAAAAAAAATATTTTATTTACCAAAATGAATCACACTTACATTCTTAAAATTTTCTGACAACATTGTATATAAGAATGCAGATTAAAAGACATGAGGAAACCAATGTAAGCAGTTTGCATCCCTATTTTCAATTACATTATTTTTATTATGACAACACCCCAAACAAAGTAAATTTTAATTTACATACATCATTAAAATTACTCTAGTTTTACAATCCTAGGAATCTACTAAGCAGAAGCATTAACTGTAAATAGGTAACTTGGTCAATTAGAACTGTATCACAGTACAGTCCCTTGATTCATATCATTTTGTGTGTCTGTATAGGCGAGTGGTTTTCAGACAATTTCTTCATTTAAACTAACACATATACAATGAAGATAAGAGAACAAAACAAAAAATTAAGCACAACATTTAGTATATTTTACCATATAATATACTACATGTATTAGGTTGTGTTTTTTGGGAACCAAATTTAATATTTTGAAGAATAAAGTTGATAAACAAAAATGGAAATAATTTATAACAACTTAGTATGTTATCTATAACTTTTTGCTTAAAGGGACATAACTCAAAGATTTTTATTACTTTTAGATTTATCTACTTGCACTTTGATATGACAATGGTGGACTGTTTGGAAATGTTTACATATTCAAGAGGGGAATAGAGACTGGGAAAGAACATGGTGGTGGTGGTACTACTACTACTACAATAACAATAGGAAAAATTATTTACAGTCTTACATGTAAAAATATAATAACAGTGAGGAATTAATAAAATATCAATTTTATATATGCTTTTATTTTACAGCATGGCTAAACATTAATTTATTCAAAAAATTTAATGTCCATAACCTAATGATAAAAAAAAAAAATGAATCTATTTTAGACAACAAAAAAAACTTTCTTTGTCAATACACTTAATGATGAATGTTAATCAAACAGAAAAAATATTATATAACTCCTTGCAAAAATATACAGAGCTGAATTTAATTTTACCTTGTACATCCATACAAATTAGTTTATGACCACAGTACATTGGTAATTCATCAAAATCTCAAACTATTCTAAAATATAAACTTTGATGAATGAATGCACAAACAAATCTTATATTTCTTTTATTTTGTTAATTTTGGCAATATTTTGACAAAGACTGGTTGGGTTATTTTTATTTTTAGTCTATAAGCCTTTACTTGATTTAAAGATAGTAAATATCAGTCATTTTATATTTGAGTCTAAACATTTACTTGGTAGGTGGCCATAAGGAGGTGGTCTTTCTCTGCAGGGGATGTAATCAACATATTCTCAGCACCCACCATCAGTACAGCTAATTTTGGGATAATATTGGATATTCTTATTTGAATCTAAACATTTACTTTGTTCTGGGGTAGGTAAATATATTACATAAGAGTCTGTGAACATGAACTTTTGGTGTAGGTCTTACCTCTTGGCAGGAAATGTAATCAGTGTATTTTTTTTTTCTTTTAATATCGTGATCATTTAACAAACAGGCATTATTGAAAGATTGAAAACCACAAGATAATGCTTCAAATTATGTCTGATATAACTGTACTAGGGCTTTAAATGTATGATCCCCCAAACAGCCAGTGCTAAATTGGAAAAAATTATTTTGCTCTACTATGGATAAAATAAAGTGCAGAAAAAAAAAAAATAAATAAATAAATAATAATAATTACATATCTCTCCCTCTCTTTATTAGGTTGAGTTATAAGTAATTACTTTTTGGTAGAAACAATTGTAATGACAAATAAGCCATTCTAACTGACCATTCCTTAAATACATTATAATAGATGATGAAAAATGGGTTACAATGTGCAATCAAAAGGCAGCGGACTGACAAGGATACATCTCCACAACCAACCCTGAAAACAGAGCTCTATGGAAGAAAGGTAATGTTTTGCATGTGTTGGGATTGTCAGAATATTATTCATTTAGAGTTCTAAAAACACAATGAAACTTTAAATGCACATTTTTACAGCCAGCAGTTGCAATATGTCCATGAAAGATTTGTCAAAAAATGCTGTGCTCATCAACAGAGAGAAGTATGCTATCCTTCATGATGACATGCAGCAAGAGTAACACAGGAAAAACATTTTGGAACTCAGTTTGTCTGTTCTACTCCACCCACCATATTCACCAGACCTTGCACAAAAATTTATTACTTCCCCACCTCCCAATCACTGCAAAATTCTTTAATGAGGTAAACTTTCTCTAGTTTATTTATTTTTTTATTTCAATAGGAGTAAGTAGTTTTGCCTATCACTCCTTTCCCATCTATTGAACAGGTTTATCCTTTGCTTTAGGATTGGGTTTCCAGTTTCTTTTAAAGTCTTATTCTCTTTCACTCCCAGTAACCCCTTGCATCTTAGTGGCATTTATCACCTTGCTTGGGGTGAAATGATTATAAAAAAATCACAAATTGAAAATTTGATCACATCAAAACCTGTGGAAATTTGCTCAATATGGAAACAGTCATTGCAAATAATGGTGAATATATAATTCGGTAACATTTAATTTAGTTTATCAACTATTATTATTCAGAAAATAAAGTGCAAAGTATTTTTGACTCAATCTAATATATAAGACTAAACTCAGCTAATGCTGACATATACAGGGTGCGATGGGTAAATTGTCATCATTTTATATTTTTTTAATTTTGCACATGTGCATTGTTTGTTTTTGTCAACTGCACAGTATAGTAGGGTCAGTTGGGCACCATCTATGAGAAAAAGACTACCATGATGAAATTTAATCTGCCAGAAATTTGGAAATGGCATGCTGTACTGCTTGGCATTTGGCCAGAAACTCCAATACAAATATTTCAAAGTGTTTGGGTGGCAATCTGAGGACAGTGCAGAGCATTTGAAAAAAGTTGGATAAGTCTAATAGTGATTACAAAAGTGTTTGGGGTGATCACTTGTGGTGATGTTATGCCTCCATTTATCTTCCCACAAGGCTCTAGACTCAACACAGGCTTACATCAAGTACCTTGAGGAGGTAGTGCTGACCTGGGTCAAGAGGGTGGCTGCTGGAAAACCTTATATCTAGCAACAGGACTCTGCACAATACCATGCAAGCAAGAGAACTCAGTCATGGATGCCAGACAACTTCTGTAACAACATCACCCCTTACATCTACTCACCTAACTCCCCAGACTGCAACCCCATTGATTATTATGTGTGGAGCACAATTGAGCAAGAAACAAAAAAAAAAACTCCTTGTAACACCTAAAATGAACTGAAGGCAAGGACTATGGCAGCATTCACCATTTAAACAAAAAGACTGTCCAGAAGAGTTGTAGGAGATTCTGATGTCATCTGGAGGAGGTGGTTGAAGCTAATGGTGATTTTATTGAATAAATTTACTCTTTAGCATCATAAGATATGTGTAATTTTGGTAAATATATGTGTAATTTTGGTAAATATATCTGCTAAAATGAGATATCAGTGTTATTTTAATTTTGTGTAATTTAGACAACAATTTATCTATAGCACACTGTATAATAAATATAGAAACTATTTCTTTCCTATAAGTTATTGCTACTCATATAAATGTCACACTTCTTATTTATAGAATTTACATAATTTGAAAATGTTAATTATTAATCTTTACAATTATTATGAAAGTATTAATGATGGAGAAGTGCACAAATCAAAAGATTCTTCATTGCTTATTTTCTAAGAGAAAAAGGGAAAGAGATCTGAACTTATCTCTCTTGGACAGACACTCTTTTTTTTTTTTTGCAGGAAGAGGGGCTCAATTTAAATGTTACTTAGAAACCATAGCCTAAATGAACAAGAAATAGCTTTATTCCCCAAGAAAGAATATTTTGATGTTATTGTACTAACAAAAATTGCACAAAAATATACTGGTTTTTTTTTGGTTTTTTTAATATATAGTTTAGCTTTTGGAAGTTATTTTTTTGCTACTCCAATGCATCTTCAGATTTTATTTTGGCATCATTTTTTCTATCATCTGATAAAACACTTCCCAGATATTTAAACTTCTCTACTTGCCTGATTTTTGTTTGCTTTCAATTCATAGCTCACATATTGGGTTGCTACTCTTACTAACAACCATATGTCTTATGTCCTATAATTAAAATACAGAACAAAATAATCACCCATTGTCTTCTCATCCTCCCAAGAAAAAGAATTCATCCTCACTTCCATACTGTATCTTTTCTTCTAACATTCCTAATCCAACAAAGATGGGAGAACCATCAACCTAAATATTTTTTTCCCTTGGAAGCCAAGAAAGAAAACTTTAATGCTGGTTTCACAGAGCAACAAAAGCAGTAACCAGCTTTTATCTTAACGGAAACAAACAGGAAAAGAGGAGTGTTGACACAACTACAATTACAGAATAAACTGATCAAAGATGTTAAAACAAGCCACAAATCTTTTATTAGGTGTTGTCATTAGTTCATAATATTTGGTAAGACTGATAAAAAGAGAAGTCACTACCAGTGTGATTTGTCTTCCAACTTGGGAGACAGACCAAATTTTTTTAGTTTCTTTAATAGTCAAGTGTTAATGCATAGTTTCACTTATACCCACTCCCAGCCACAAAAATGATACTTAAGGTTTTTATATTGACAGTTGAACAATACATTAAAGACATGAATAGTTTAACTTCTGTATTGTTTTTACCCAATACCAAGAAAAGGTTATTTCCAGGTTTTTAATTCACATATTATTGACACCAAATAATTAAAAATTGCCAAAAGTTATTTTATTTTTAAAAGAAAAAAAATCTAAAGAGAATATGTTTATGTATCTCTCTCATACACACTATCATATATTCCTTATGCATATAAGAGTGCTCTATTTTAAATAATTTTAAAAGAGCTTCTTTTGTGTGTATGTGTATATTATAAAAACTACAGGTTCCATGAAAAATAGGCAAAAATAAAAACTAAAATAAGATTAAAAATTTGCTGACATAATAGGCATTAATTTTTTTTTCAG